TATCCGTTGTCTCAAAAATCATTTAAATTCTTTTATTTATCTTTCAGCTGAATTTTCTTCAAGTACTTACTCAAAAAAAAAGTAATTTTGAAAATATCTTAAGTATCATTTTCTCCGAACTTTTCATTGTTTATTTATTATTACTGTCGAATATTCAAGTGTTCGAATGTTCACTTACGTCATTTCAATGCAATTACGGTATATACGTAGCATTATTTTAACATAATAAGGCGTTTTATTATCTTACTCACGTACTATAAGCAATTTTTTTTTTATGTTAATTATTGTCCTTATATTATATATTTTTTTCATAAATTTTTTCTCCAAAAAAAACCTTATTTTTTTTATTTTTTAAAATATTAAAATTGTTTAATTTTTTTTATTAAAAAAAAAATTTTTAATTAAAAAAAAAAACTTTTTTTTTTATTAAATTAATTTTTTTAATAAAAAAAAAAATTGAAATTTTTTCACACAAAAATTTGTAACAAAAAAATTTTTTCCGAGTAAAGAAAGTGTAATTAGCCATGTTAACGACCTGTACACAATAGGAGGATAATTTTATTTAATTAATATCTTTATCTATCCCTGACCCCCTTAAACCTTAATAACTCCCAACAATATTGAAAAAAAAAAAAAAAAAAAAAGAAATATTCAATCCAAAGTAAATATTATTCAAAGTATAAAAAATAATTTTTAATAATTAAAAGTCGATTATAGAGCCAATAAAAAAATCATTTGTTCGAATTATCGTGTCCTAAAACTCATTTCTTTCTCTTCCTCAATTATTGACCTTAATCAAATTGTTTCTCCGCAATTGCCGTTCAATTGTCCCATCATACATCGCGACAAAAACATATACATTATTCTAGACTGTGAACAGCGAATAGACAAATAAAGTCTAAAAAAAAAAACATAATTATATTGTACTTGAGCGATAAGTAGATCTCGAAAACGATAACAATAAAAGTTGTGTCTTAAAACGAAAGATAAGTTTGTTGATCTTGCTTTATGAATTTATTTTTACAATTAACACGCTCTTGCTATTAAATATTAATTTTTTTGTCGAATTATCGTAATTATATTTAATTAAGATTGTAATGTTTATTTTAAAAATTCATTGATATTTTTTTGTTAATTAAAAATTAATATTAATCAATAATTAAATATAAATATTAGAAAGTATATTTGTGGGAAAAATTTTAATTAATTTTTTTTACAACTGTATTATTTGTACTTGACATTATTTATGCAATAAAATACTGAGTTAACTACTGCAATTTATTTGCATCTATAATCTAGAATACCGTTGCGGAAAATTGAATAAATTACCCGCTTACTTTTCAATTTTTATCACACAAATTAATTCCCGCATTAAAAAAAAAAAAAAAAAAAAAAAAAAGAAATTTTTAAATTTAAATTTCCCGCGAAAAAAATCTTGGAAATCCCATGGCTTTATGAAAAGTGGCGCGCAATTTAAACCGATAAGATAAAAATAATTAAAAAAAGCGACTTATTACTTGTAAAAAATTGTTTTTTATATAAATTAACCATTATTAATAATCATTTGAGCGATCTGCGGAAAAAAATCATGAAAAATTAATCCAAGGTCGCTAAAGGTAATTTATTCCGTTTTTTTATTCAGAAAAAATAAACAATAACTCTAACTGGCTAAAAAAAAAAATTAATAACGATCTAATAACTTAGTTATACAATTATTTATGATGATCAAGATCATTATACGGATTAATGCGCATGATTCTTGAAATAGTAAAAAAAAATTCGAATTTTTAGCTTGTTTTATGACACTGACGCTAAGTCCAATGGCAAACTAGAGTCATTGTCAAGGATTTATGCACAATGTGATGATACTTTTGTTATCTACGCCTTAATTACTAATCTATTGTGCAGGCTAACAAAATCCAGAGTGACATTTATATTACTATTCACTTTAATCTCAGTGTAATTTCTTATTTTATTTAATTTTAATAAACTAGCGGAGTTTATTCAGACAGAACGCAGACTATCATTATCCGTCTGTTACATATTTCCTTTCCGATTCTCTAATGGCCTTGCTAAGACCTCGGAACCGCAACTATTGAAAGAGAATAAAACAACGATGAAATTTATAGAATAAAAATGGACTTAATTATCATATTCTTTGTTTAAATTTTAAAGTATAATTTTTTGTCGAAAAACATTTTTTTTTTTTCAAAAAAAACCTGACTACCTTAGACTTTTTAATACAACGCCACCTAGCAGTTCAAATTAGTACTAAATAAACTATCCAATATGGCCGCAAATAACAGATGCCGTATTTGACTTTAAATTGTTAATTATAATTAAACTACAAGGTATATAGAATTTTTGATAACATAATTATAGAATTCCAAGTGGTATAAGTTAATTAAAAAAAAAAATTTATTAATATTGATAAAAAAATTATATAATAAATAAAAAGGAAAACTTTGTGATTAATATAAGATACAATTTATAGTTCTAATTGGTCTCTTTATTATGTATTTAATTTATAGAAAAAAATTTGAGGCTTATTATATAGTCTGGTTAGATTTTTCTACTAGCGAGAAGGCGTAGCCACCTATCGGTGAAACCAAGAACTAATTTATATACAAATTACCAATCTTATACTTTTGACAAAGCTAAGAAATATTTAAGATTCAAAACAAGGTTTTATTTAAAATAATTTTGTTTTATTAATATACTTCTGCTAATAAAATAATTAATTGTCCAAATTTATATAAATTCAATCACGAATAATAAAATTAAAACGCGCTAATTACTATAATATTGTAATTTATTTTATAGAAAAATTGTCTACTTATATACTCTGGTTAGAATTTTCTACTAGCGAGAAGGCGTAGCCACCTAGAGGCGGAACCAAGAACTAATTTATAAAAATAATTACTATTCGATTGCTGTCGATGTTTTTGACTCAAAATAAGATTCTTTTATAATAAAACAATAACTTTATTCAATTTTAATTAATTAATGTCATTAAAAACGAGCTTAAAAAGGAGAAAATATTGAATCAAATCAAGGTTCTGTTCAAAATAATCTTATTTTTCGGATCGGCAATATTTCTTTCCACTCGACTAGTTTTTATTTTATTAAATAAATAAATTTGAAAGGTATGTAAATGAAAAAAAAATTTTTTTCAAGTCTGGTGACGTAGCTTAACAAAAAAGTTACGGTATATATTTATTAATACTTATTTATATTGGATCAACCTTGAATCAACCCTATATCGCATGATAGGGAGCCGTTCCCACTAATTTGCGGAAATAGTAATGTCAATGTAAAAATCATTACTTTATTAAATTACCGCGTAATTAAGATTACAGATGTAACTTACTTACATATTTATATCTACACGCACATATCTTGTCACTAAGTTACGACACGTGACATCTTAATAAATAAGAAAAATATATATAAATAAATAAAGATGTTATGCAACTAAACGAGTATGTTGTAAATTTTTAAATAATTAGACATGAAATTTTTCGAATAAATCGACAGATTGCGTCACTATTTCTTAATCCTGGGGAATTTTTACGAGCATTAACAATGAGTTCAATTTTTTTTTTTGTGACAGATAATTAATTTCTCAACTAGTCTGATTGATTATTACAATTAATAATCAATAATTTTATTGCGAAATACATTTCGCAGAAATAAAAATAGTTTAGAACAGGTTTTAGTTTTAATCTATGAATAATTCTCAGTGGTTTTGTTTGAATTTATTATTCACACTAGTTACATCTAATTATTGTCATATTTGTATACAGATTATAATATACTTGATGAAATTTTATTTATGTGAAAAAACAATTTTTTTTCCTGGTTCTAAGATAAAAGTTTTGTTTTAAAAATCATAAGCTTTAGATAATTTGAGGAAATTTGAGGCTTTATTGGTCTTATTGCATAGTAGTCAATCTAGCGACACGTGTCATTATGCATGATTACACATACTCGCTAGACATATACATGTATACAGAGAAGCTATGCTCGGGTAATACGTTTTATAGATTATTAAGGTAATTTAAAATTCAAATCAGCCTAAATTATTGAGAAAATTTTATTCAATTATTAAAATTTACTTGTCACTACAATTTTGCTACTTAAGTAATTTAATGATTAATCCTTCCGTCTTTTGAATTTTCATAGTATTCAATACATTTATACACTGAAAAAAAATTAATTTGATTCAAGAGAAAAATTCTGGATCCAAAAAAATTATTTTTAAGATTTTCCTTGTCTTGAACCATAATGTATATAAGATAAAAAGATGTTTACATGATAAAAGATATTTTCTATGTTTATAGATTTAAGTACATAGCAATAAATATTATTATTAACTATTATTGTAATTATATTTTAATGTTGTATACTTGTATAATAATGTATTGCTTATTGATGGCCTTGAGGAAGCTTTGGCTCTAAGGTAAAATAAATATGTATATCCATCTATCTAAATATTATTATAAAGAGTGTGACTAAAGGATCGTTACACTATTTCGGCTGTTTAAGTTAGTTAGTGACTGAATAGTAGTTACGGACAATGTCTCGGATAGCTTAACCGGTAGAGCCCTTAGCACTTAACCAAATGTTCCGGGTTCGATTCCCGGTCTGGGTTTCCCGAATTATTTTTCAGTTACCCAAAAATTCCTACTAAGCTCCCTCTTTTCTTTCGCCAGTTCCCAAATTTTTCTTTAATGACAAATTTAGCTACCAATTATATCTACAAAAGCGCTCCTTATAAAAATATTCTTTTCGAGTCATAATTTTAATAAAGACATTGTTACTAATTTACTTAAATAATATACCTATAATTTAAAAAAGTTAAAAATAAGAACACCAATAATATTATGTATCAAATTTATTAAACCTTTAATCAGGTAACAACTTCATAATAACACTTATACAAAATCTTAACCTTAACCACTAATACTGAGTATCTCAAAAACAATCATTAATCTAAATCATTTATCGTAAGTATTAACCACCGCATCCATATCCAACTGCGATAAAAGTTCATCATCACTATCTCCAAAAGTGTCTTCATTATTAGTATCTCCATTAGCATTATTCACCACATCATTTCTTTCCGGACTAAGTTGCATCTGGGACATCATTTCATCATCGCTATCATCCAGCAGATTATCACCAAAGGTAGTTCCTGGAACTTCCTCACTTCTAGCCAATTCCTGGCTTAGGTTATCTTGGACACTAGAAGCTTCTAGCACGGCGAATCCTTCGAACAAGTTATCATCCAATTCAAAATCGCTCGTATCCATCAAAGTATCCGGAATTCCTCGACTAACTTGGCTTCCTAGCTCTTGTTCCATCAATTTTGTAAGTTCCGGTGTGGTAATAAGCCTTGACTTGTCATTGTAGGCAGCTACGATACTTATAGGTGAAATAAAGAGTATAGAAGTAGTTAGGGACGCTTTTGACCCACGGAGATTCAGAATTCCAACGTCGCGAAGCAGAACAACGACTCCTGGCTGCAAAACACTGGGATACCTCGCGAAAATGTCTTTGTGCATCATTCCTTCGATAGAATCCGAAATGTCTTTAAGAGTTACTCGCGGATTAGCAGCAGACCAGTCAATTTTCTCGATAATTCCAGCAAGGATTGGAATTTTCTTGCTTCTTCCTAGATTCTTTATCGACGAAATGTCCTTACCAGTAAGGTAATCTTGCGGCAATTCGTTCATCATAAGCCGCCATGCGCCGTCGGTAAACAGCTTTTTGGTATCCTGCGAGCAAAATCTAGACTCAGCCCTTTCTTCGTCTGAATCATGTAGGTTATCATTAAGCGCTTTGGATAAGCTTTGATTCTTTTTAGCAGCCGAGAAACTGAGCAGGCCTGCCGGCCCAGGAAATTTACGCACTAAAGTCTTCGGAGGCTCTTTTGGCTTGGGTGATAAAGGTCTTTTGAAAGGGCTGCGGTCGTTCTTTTCGGTTAAGAGGTTCTTACGAATGGTATTTGGCGTCTTTTTGGACATTGTTTCTAGGAGCAGGTTCTTTAGAGGTTCACGCTCTTTTGGAGGTGAGGGGGTAGCTGATCTTGACATTAGGTCTAGTAATAGGGTCTTACAAGAGGATTCTTCCGGTATGTCTTCAACCTCTGGAGGTCGATCGAATAGGTCCAAGAGGAGGTTCTTTCGGGAAGATAGCTTTTGCTCCGGGCTTTTGTTCTCGTCTGGACTTTTTTCGAGAGGTAATGAACATTGCTGGGTGAAGAGCATTGATTCATTGCTTTCGATTTCTCGTAAAGAGTCCTGGAAGTAAATTTTTTTATGACTCGCCTGAAGATTTTTTTAAAAATTGTTGCTTCAAGCTAATGCGTAGAATTTAAAGCTAATGATTAGAAATTTTTCTAAACTTTCAAGAGGGCTTTAATTTTTCAGTAAAAGTGAAAACTTTCTTTTTTTAATACGGACTGAAAGAATTTATAATTTTTTTAATGAATTTTGGAATTTTAATTAAATTTAAGAGAATTTTGTTAAATTGTTTTGATTTATACCTTTGGAATTTATTTTATTGAAATAAAAATATTTATAAATTGTCAGATAGTCGCTAATTTAAGTATAATAATTTTTCATGATAAAAATAACAGATAAATGATAATTATTTTGTGTATAAAATAAATTTACAATTTACAAGATTTTTTCAAATCTTTATTCTATTCATTAGAAAATTTTGTAGTCAAATTATAAAAAAAAAAAATAATAGACATTTTTGACACTCAGAAATTTGATAAAAAAATATAAAAAAAATTTTAAAACTATCATTGCAATTTTAAAAAATAATTTTTTTAGTAATTATTTAAATAAAGAGAGATAAAAGAATCAACAATTATTAAAAGGTCTGTTGATTTCAGTATCTTAAAAAAACATCTCAGAATTAATTAATTTTTTAAATAAAAAAAATTAAAAAATCAAATTGGTGATTTTATCATCTAAAAAAAATTTAGAAATAAGAAAATTTTATCCTTGAAATAATGACATTAAAGTTATCAGTAATTAGACAATTATATATTTTTTTTAACAATTAAATTTGTTCTGAAAAATTATAATCAAAAAATTGCAATTTTAATTTCTACATATCAATTTTTTTCTCTAATTTTTTTCTGCCATAATTTATGAGTTATAAAACATTAATAAATATCTGCTCAATTAATCACACTTTTTTTTTAAAATAATAATAATTTTAAAAAAATTTCAATTTTAATTTTTTTTTAATTTTTACATGTCAATATTTTGTTGCCACAATTTATTTGTAAAAAAAATTTTTGAATTTTAATGACACTGAAGTTAGCAGACGCTTAAAAATTTTTAATTTTTTTTTTATTAAATAAATTACAACTAGGGTAAATGCACCAATTATTGACCGATTAAGGTTTTCTTTTTCTGTACTAAGCTATAAAAAATCTATTAACCTACTAAAAACAATTTGTAATGGATTTTATTAAAGTTAAATACTTAATTAATAATAATTAATAACTATTTATAATAAAAATTAACAAAATTATATTAATTTTGTTATTTGAATCTTGAAATACTAAAATCACCAATTATTGACCGAAGAAACCCAATAAATGACCGACCGTTATCCAATTAATTGACCGCTCAAATAATTATAAGTAATTTTGTAAACTACATATATGTAA